GTTTTAATGAAATCGGAGATTTACCCCTGAAAAGGTTCCCTTGTAAGGAGGCGCACGCACCGAGGCTCTGACACTGGAGGCTCCGGCAGGCCCACTGGAACTGGAGGCTCGACCGGAGGGAGTGAGGAGTGTTAAAAGGAGGCGCACGCACCGGGGCCCTGGCCCTGGAGGCTCGACCGGAGGCTCCGGCAGGCCCCCGGAGCAGGGCCCCCGCTTGGTCTGCGGCGGGAAGCGTATAATTCCCCGGAGCAACCCACGGGCTGGCGTAACTCATGAAAGAGCGAGTATTTAAATGCACGAGAGGACCCCGCCGCGCCGCGCCACCCCGCGCAACGCTCACAGGCCGCCCAGCCCGGGGGGCCCGAGGCAACCGGTGGCGGTGCGATACCTCAAATCAAATTCGATTCTATTACACGCTTCATTTACGAAGCTCCCTCTCCCCCTCTCGCACTCACTCACTCTCTCTAGCAGGCGGGCCACGCGGGGGGAGACCCGGCCGGCAAGAAGATGTTTCGTTCCCGCCGATCGTCAGCGTGAAAGCAACGCAAATTAAGGTGGCGCTAGGCTCCTGCCGGCAGGAGCTCTCTCGCTCTCTCGCTCTCCCGCCCTCTCCCTCTCACCCCCCACTCTCTATATCTGCCTCTCTCGCCCTGGCGCGGCCAGGGCAGGCCCTCCATCACCATCACCACTAAGCGGGTCTACCCGTCGGGGTCCCGTCAGCGTCGCGTCTGCCCCGGCACCCTTCCCTCCGCACCGCAGCGCCTACACCGAGGCCCTCCCCGCGGCAGCGACTTAGGGGGCGAAGCTCATCACCAGCGCCAGCCAGGACCCTGACAAGGGGGTTCACCCAGGACCCTCTCAGAGCCGACCAGATGATCCTCCTCCAGCCCCACCACCCCCTCCAACCCGGCCGGGGATTGCCGCAATTGGGCCAGAAAAAGGGAGGAGGTTTTGGGTTTGTCGACGAGCCTTCCGGCGCGCGAGCGGGGCTTGAGGCTTAGAGGGGCCGAGGGCTTAAGGGTAGCAGCTCTACGGCGAGCGGGGTAAGGGGTAGATAGGTGGCGCTAGGGAAGGGTTACGCGGGTCACTGACTTACTTGTTCCCGCGAAATCCCGTCCGTCCGAGGGAAAAACTTCTCCCATTACTCTTTTTTCCACCCACAAAAAAGCAACATTGACTTTCTTTCATATCTGCTGCACAAGCCTTCCCCATATCGTTTTCGTGAGCCACTCACCTCATGAGCTCCACAAAGAGAGCGGGGGAGCGTAGGTATCCAGTTAGGTCGTGGAGGTAAGCCTCAAAGTAATCCCAGTGCGAAGTGGTTGGGGTTGCGGCAGTAATCCTCGGGATCTCACTAACACACACACATAAACACGCAAACTTTCTCTAACACACACACACAGCACTGCACAACAACGACACTGCACGCGGCGTGCGACGATGTGTTCGCGCGGTCGACCGGTCGGTCGGCCGGTCGGCGGGAGCGGCGATGCTGGCGCGGCTCGCTCGCTCACTGGCTGCACTGGGCCGCCGCCTCCTCGCCCTGCATGGCCCCGTCCCGGTGTGCGGCGAGGTGCACCGGTAGGCCCGGGCGGCCGTGCTGCGGTGGGTACTACTACGGGTACCCCCACCCCGGCCTGCCCAGTCAGCCAGCCCAGCCGGCAGGCGGACCGCCGCCAAGCGCTGCTGCTGCTGCTGCTGCTGCCGCTGCTGCCGCCACGACCACCACTTTACTATACTACACTACTGCCGCTGCCGCTTTGTTGTCAGGGAAAGTGCCGAGGTGTGACGGCGTGGAGACGAGCAGGCGCCGCGGTGCTGTGGCGGCAGCAGGTTGATCAACAAGTCGAACGTTTATGAAGCAAGTACTTCGGACTCCCTCCACCCACCCACGCCACGCGCCCTGCCCTCTGCGCGCCATCCTGCAAAACAAAAGCAATCCGCTTCTCGGGGAGGGGGCAGGATAAGGTCAGGAAGTACATCAACTGCACCACCTTTCTATACAGCCAATCTAAGACACTTATGTTGTTCTCACGGCTCTCGGCTTTCCCACACCAACAGGCGGCATCTTTGCGAAATGGCTTATTTGTTGTTCCAGAAAAACAAGTGTGCGCCAATTGTTTGTTTTGCACCACGCTGCTTTCCTACTCCCTCCACCCGGGTTGCCAGAAAAGTTAGGCAAAACCCGCTGGAGCACACCCTGTGTGTAAGGGACCGTACATATACCACGTGGACAAAAACGGGGGGAGGGGGGGTTCGCAAAAATTCCACGATTTTCCACAGGGGGGAGGGGGGGATTAAGGTACTGTCCACGTGGAAGAAATTTCCTAGAAATTTACAGTAAAAATTATAAAATACAGTTATTTTGTTTTGTTTAAAAGGTGCATTTTAACAGCCTACGCTGCTATGACGAATTTAAGTTAAAACTTTGCAGTATTTTGAATGCATTTGCTCGAAATTTGCCATGTAGCTAGGCAAAATAGCGTAAAGAATCGATTTTCGATTTTCCACGTGGACAGGGGGTAGGGGGGGGGTGAGGCAAATGTCCACGTTTGTCCACAGGGGGGGAGGGGGGAGTTAAAAAGTGGCCAAAAAGTGTCCACGTGGTATATGTATGGTCCCTAAGAGGCAGGTATCTCCGCCTGCCTACTAGGCAACACCTCTGCCCTCGCGTCTGGATGTTGCCTAGTAGGCAGGCGAAGATACCTGCCTGTTCTGTTACACACAGGTGTGCTCCGGTTGACTTCGGCCCCTGGCAACCCTGCCCGCTCGTAAGGTTTGCGTCGCCTTACGGTGCGAGTAGGCAACCCGCTCGCATGCGTGCATGCGGTACAACAGCACTGTACTGAAGTTGGCCGGACGAACCCATCACCCTCAAACATGATGATTGATTGATTGATTGATTTCGTTTATTGAGGTCCATAAAAGGGCTAAAAAGCCCCGCTACAATGAACCCCGCTCTCAAGCAGGATGATGGAGTACATTTTTTTGGTATGTGGTAAATAATGTACTCTTATACACACTTCGTTTTACAGTGGTGATTGTAGTGTCACGCGCACCTAAGAAACTCAGTAAAACACCTACCCGGAAAACAGAAGGAGTATGAATGACAGTGAAAATCCTGTCATTACCAAAGTCAACTAAAAATTGTAGTTTCTACTCTCTACCCTCTCTACTACAATTCCTCCTACTATTCTAAAATGGTTACAAACTCAGTAGAAGCTACATCAAGTAAGGGAGCCTAATTATTGTATCAAAGAAAGCAAGAAATTTGCTCATCTCATACAATCGATGAAATTAATTACTGTATTTCTCAACTGCTACGAAACGACACACAAAGAGGGTGTGCAAGTAGTTTTCTGTGCCACTGGGGTTTTGAGGTGGGGTTTCACGTTGAACAGACGTTTCTTTTCTCTACTCTCTTACTGCACGGGGTTAGATGCAGCTGCTGCGGTCACCGCGGAGTCCGCGACCCCGGAAGCTAACCCGATAACACCGTCACCCTGCACCTGTTGAAGGAGTGCAGCACTGTGACGCTGTACTTTCTCTCAGCTGCAGGGCACTGCGTCCAGCGGAAACACTAACTCACTGGAACACTAGACGCCCTTAGAGCCCTGCTGTGACCCCCTGCGGGTCGGGTACCGCGCAGTTCCGCGGCGACGGGGTCGGCGTCCCAGATATAAACCCTTCAAAATGTCGTCTGCTCCGCTCGACGAGTCGCCGTCATCATCTCTGCCGCACTCAATCATGCTCAGCCGCACCGCCGCCCCGCTCTCGCACCGTGCCCCAGCGACGCCGCTGATGCCTTGGCTGTGTGACCCACCGGGACTGCTAGGACGAGGGGCCCACAGGGCCTTACGAAAACTGCCAGGACCAGGAGCTCACTAGGACCAGGGGCCTGCAGGGGCCGCCTACCAGGACTGCCAGGACCAGGGGCCCAGAGGGCCCTACAGGACTACGAGGACGAGAGATCCCACACGGGCCCCCAACCAGGACTACCATGACCAGGGGCCCACCAGGACTGGGGCCAGGGGCCCACAGGGCCCTACCAGGACTGCCGGGACCAGGGGCCCAAAGGGCCAAGAGCCCCACAGGGGGCCCGAGCCCGGGTACGACGGGCGGGCGGTGTCTTTGCCGCTCCAGCGCGCGAGAGGGTGCGGGGGCCGGGCCGGGGCCGGGAGTGTGGTGTGCGGGCTCCGGAAACGGCCCGTGATAAAGCAAAGCAGTGTGTGTGTGTGTGTGTGGTGAGAGGGGAAAGGAGGGGGGGGGGGGCACCCGCATTGTCTAGCTAGCTGGCTCCTGGTGGGCAAAAGCACACAGCGGGGGACGGGGACCTGTGCCGTCCCGTGAGCGCCTGCCCGCGCTGGCAGAGCTGTCCCATCAGGACCGGATCAGGACCGCCCCAGACGATTGATTCAACAGCACCAATTATACAACACACGTCGCAACCAGTCGCGTACTCTGCAGCTATATGCGAGAGGGGGGGGAGGGCGAAGGAGAGAGAGACAGAGAGAGCGAGCGAGAGAGATTTTTATTTTGGGGGAGGGGGGGCACAATTTACGACGACGACAGTGTTGGTGTCAAGCGTGAAACTTATTCGATTTGGGGTTTGGATAATTGTCTCACTAGCTTGGCGTCATTTTAATAAGTTCGCGTTACCTGATGGAAAGGGCACACTAACGGTGTTTGCAGTTCTTTCCTCTTCCGAAGTGTTTGCTGTTCTGCCCCTCCCCCCCCCC